TAAAGCATGGTGATGTTTCACTTGTTTGGAACTGACCTTCCCCAGTAAGTGGTGGGGGCCATATTCTTAACCATTGTGTCATACTGGCTCTATCCACCTGCTACAAATTCTAGACCAGCACTTCCCAACATGATCTCTGCTTGTGCTGTCCACTGCAGTAGACACAAGCTACTTGTAGCTAGTGAACACTTGGAAGGTAACTAGTGTGACAGAGGAACTGATGAAGTGGCACTGCCTTCTGGATTAAGGTGCCATTCACACAACGGTATCCCTCAAGCTAGACTCCATGTTCTCAACAGGAGCAATATCGCCCCCACGGCAACAAAAGCTGGTTTGGGGTAGGAGTTAAGGGATATAAACTTACTCTTTTTGTGTAAAAAAAAAAAAATACATGTATTTATTTAGTACATAAACAGATGAGTTTGTCTACTATGGCAGTGATGGCGAACCTTTTGTCAGCATTTTGGAAAACCCTAACTTAACTCTGGTGCCGTGTCACATATAGAAATTTTTTGATATTTGCAACCATAGTAAAACAAAGACTTATATTTTTAATATTTATTTTATATATTTAAATGCCATTTAACAAAGAAAAATCAACCAAAAAAATGAGTTCATGTGTCACCTCTGACACGGGTGTCATAGGTTCGCCATCACTGGTCTATGATATTAAAATTTCATGGGGTTGCCATAAGGTAAAATTGTCTAAAAGGCTGGAGGTGAGTGCGATGTGGGGTAGAGTACACAATAATGAAAAAAATGGGAGAGAGGCACTAAGATGCTAAATGTGTTCTCCAATGGAGGTCTATCATGGGTGGTCGCCCTGGAAACCGAGCCAAACTGCCCTGTGCACATGGTTTCTAAGGAGACTACCTGCCGAGTTCCCAATCTCTGACACATGTGGATCTTTGAAATGAGCTCACTTTGTAAGAACACCGCCCATAAAAAGTGCAGCTCTGTTCTTCACGTGGAAGGCATCGAACACAACATCCACAGAGCAACTTACTTACTTATTGCACTGGGGACCGGTGAAGAAGAAGCCTCAGGCCTTGGAGCAATGTGGCCAGTGTGGTGAAGGAAATGCATACCTGGAGATGATGGTTTCCCTTCATCCTCTCCCCTGCCCCTGTGCTGGCAAGGTGGAGAGGGTGTCCTTGTAATGGAGTCAAGCTTGAGTTTGTTCATTCAACATTGTTGAGCATCCACTAAATGTTGGACACTCTGGGAAGGTCTAGAGATTATGCTGTCCGGGATGGTAGTCATTACCCACATATGGCTGTTTAAATTGAGGTTAATTAAAATCAAAATTCAGTTCCTCACTCACACTAGCCACATTTCAGGTGCTTACTAGCCACATGTGGCTTGTGACTACTGCAGTAGACAGCACAAACAGAGAGCATTTCCATCATCGCAGGAAATTCTATTGGGCAGCCCTGGTCTAGAACTTTGTAGCATGTTGGTAGAGCCAGTATGACGTAGTGGTTAAGAATATGGCCTTGGGGGTCAAACTTGGGTTCAGGCTCCTGGCTTCATCATTCACCAGCTATAGGACCACGGCATGTTACTTAGCCTTTCTGAAGCACCGATTTCTCCTCAATAAAATGGGGGAATGATGCCTAATCTCAGAGGGTTATAGTGAGAATTAAAGGTGATGCACTCCACATTAAGTCATTGCTCAGTACACAGTGTCTGTTGTCATCCTTATCGTCGTCATTGTGTATGATTATCATCATCATCGTTGCTGGTTTTGGCAGGTGGGGTGTTTAGACCATGCAGACAGGCATTTTATATTCAAGTTAACTTTAGTAATGTTCCTATTATAGAGGTTTTCAAAGATTAGGCTGTTTCCCTACCTGTGTTCCTTCCCTCTCCAGTGGTCACTGCCCCTATTCTCAACATCACATTATAAATTGTCCAAAAGCCTGGATTTGGGGGCAGCTCTGCCCTCAGTCAGTGATGACTGGGAGGTAGAGGGCAACTCCAGAGAGAGGCAGAGAAGTACGGTTGTTGATTTTAATACATTTCTGATATGTCCAGAAGAATTGTAGGACTAGGGTAAATGTGAGGAATGGAAAACAAAGCTCTTCCTGCAAATAACTACAAGATAGTTGCTGTACTCCAGCAGGAAGAAGCTGGCTGCCTGCTTTGGGCATGTATTTGTTTAAGATATTTCCACTGAGAATCTCATTAGTACGAAGCCTTTTATTGGTGGCTGGGTCCTAGAATAGAAGCAGAGGCACCAGCCCTCGGCTTCATCATTAAGACAAATGAAGACATACTAGTATTAACATATGCTGGGAACAGTTACCCACATAGATTTAATTTGTTTCACTGCTAGAAGGAAATCCTGAGGAGACATGAAACACATACCCAAGAACAGTTCTGCAACCACCCCGTGAGCCTATCACTTATCAGCACCTTGCGGGCTGGGAGCTGCTTAAATTGGACATCAATCAAGGGCCAATATATCTGAAAATAGATCTTCTCTTAGGTCAGGGCTACAGGCGCTTATACAGGTGACTCAGTTCTGTTAATTTGATGATTTTCTTGTTTGTCTTTTTAACCTAGCTTATTGTTATACTTAATTGTTTTAATTGTTTATCAGAATAATATGCAGAGCTCTAAAAGGGGATAGGCACATTTTGTAGTTAGATAATATACTTAACAAACTTATATGTTTGCATTATTGTTTCCTCTCTTTTTAGGAGACCAAAACTAAATATGAAATAGTCCACTTTTTTCTGAATTGTGGCCTTAAGTATCTTAATTTTGTTGTTGTTTCTTGCAGAATTATTATTTTTCATTGTCTTGCCATTAGGAAAAGAAAGTCTTCTGAGCACACCAAACTGTATTTTTCCCAAAGAAAGAGAAAAAGATGATCATGGTTATTCCAGGATGTGACTGTTGCAATATTCCACCATATGTATATGTATAGTAATTGCACAATCTTGTCCCAGATGTTGGAGAATGGGCCCTTAACAACATTCTGGGGTGGCTGTTAAAGAAGTCAAGGCCCCTTCCCTCAAATTGTTAACTTCCAAAGGAGCAATCAACAGTCAGAGGAATGATGTGTTTAGAGTGAGAGGTGATAGCTTCCTTAGAGATTTTTCCTATATCAAATATGTTCAATTATATGTGAGGAGCATAATCCTCCAGTCACATAAAAAAATAGACAGGCCTTTTATAGTGTGAGGAGTGAATATAAAAGCTGCCTGTGTGTACTGATAGCCTACATGTTTACTACCTTTTCTCTGGGGTTGCCTCATGACAACCTCTTCATTTTCCTGCTGCCCTGTACTTCAGGTTTTGCAAACAGTATGACACAACTCACGCATGTTGCAAGCTCAAGACATAATTTTCTTGGTGATCAAAATGTGATTCTCTTTTTGGAAATCAGGCGGGGTAGTCTGAAACCTCCAAATGACAACTTGCTGAAAGATGGTTTGGTTGTTTCTCATGTGTCCCACATGGGAGAGGTCTGGTTAGAGAGCTGCGTCATTGACTCCGTTTATATGAGCGTCCTTGATGGAGGGCAAGGCCTTCTGGCGAGGAAAGGTGTATGCCTTCCACCTCTGCAGCCATCCTTGGCACTCTAGACAACCCGTGCAAATCCAGACGACATTCAAGAGTTTTATTGGCAGTCAAAGTTCATTTGAAACTGCATCTAACAACGAGGCCATATATCTTCCTATGCTTTCAGAAATTTTTATTTATATCCTGCCTCTATAAAAATGGAATCTTTGTTAGCCCTGCAAATATGGCTCAGTTGGTTGAACATTGACCCCTGCAGAGAGAGGTTGCCAATTTGATTCCTGGTCAGGGCACATGCCCAGGTTGTGGGCTCGATCCCCAATAGGGGGTATGCAAGAGGCAGCCCATCCATGTTTCTCTCATCGATGTTTCTCTCTCTCCCTCTCCCTTCATCTCTCTCTGAAAATCAATAAAAACAATTTAAAAATAAAATAAAATGGGAATTTTTAGGTGTGTCACAATCAAAGGCACACACAATAAAATTAACATAGAAGCAATTTGAAAATCAATAAAAGAAGAAAAAATATGCTAGCCAGAATGGTTAGTGAAATTACTGTGATTTATTACTGACTTTGGCCCTGAGACTACTTAAAGATCTAGCAATGAGTAGATGATTAAATACCTTATGGTACAGCCCCATGACAAATTATGTAGCCTTCCTCAGGGTGAATTTATAATAATAAGGGAAAATGTTTATAATACAGTATTAGGAAGAGAGAGGATTAAAAACTATAAAATTATCTCAGCTGTGTTTACAAAAAATTGAGGAAAACATATTGGAAGATAAATCACCAGAATTTTGACTATGGCTGATGAGCTGAAGTAATTTTTGTTTTCTTTATATTTTTCTCTTTTTAATCAGATAATTATCATGAACACATATGTAAAAGTTATCTTTTATTTGACTCTGAGCTTCCTAACAAAAGGACGAAGGGGTTATTTGATTTTCATCACATGAGGAAAGAATTATCTCAGTCCTTTAAAATAAACTCTTCCTTGATACTGAATTCCAAAAGGATGTTGAGTGACATAGTACACAAATCTTGATAACGTTCTTCTTTTTCATATATTTAAAATTTTTTATTTTTTCCATCATCATGTATCCCCTTTATGTCCTCTCCCACCTTTCCCCCACCCACACGGCAAGCAAATGCAGGAGGAGGACTCCTTCTGACTGTGTCTCATGACCACCCCCCAAGGGGAGCCCAAGGCAGGACGCTCACAATGGGCAGCGGCAGTGAGGGCTTGCCAAGAAGGGGAACTTAGCTCTCAGTAGGCTCCCATCTCTTAATTCTGTGTTTGGAATTTGCTTTTTTCACTCTTCACATATTGTCCAGACGTGCGATATGCCCAAGAGATCCAGCGACAGCTCTCAGCTCTTTATTTCACACCTTAAGGATTGAATCATCACTAGTCCTGTAAATCAGTCTTTCTAAAAGTAATGTAATTTGACTTCTCCCCCCTTTCAGGTGTCGCTGCATTGGATTCCAACGTATCTGGAAAAATTGGGCTGCGTGCTGTTGCATATTATTTCTGCACCACTCTCATTGCTGTCATTCTAGGTAAAATTTATCGCTGAATTCTTATTCCTGTATATAATTGTGACTTTTCACTTAAAAGGTGGTTGGGCTTTTTATAATGTGCATTTTTTAGAAAATTAGAAAGCAGTATTGTTACACTACCATGAAGCTTTTTGGCTTGAGATCTACATGCACCTTTTATGTGAAGAAAATGTAATAGTGACTGAATTTCAGCTATGGTATTCTTTATTAAAGTCTCTAGTAAGAACAGAAAGAGGGTGGCAGCTCTATACGTCTCCAAGATCGTTGGGTAGAAGGAAGTGGAGCCAAGAGCTTATACAATCTTTAGAGCAATGAGTCTATAGTAGTGGAGTTGAGTATAATTATAAAAGATTTCTGGAAAGATAGCAGTTGAGTGCATTTCGAACTTCACATAGTAGTGAGAGCTAATGGCTGAGTCTTGCCAAGTATAAATTCCACTTGAAAGAAGGAGAACATTCTAAGGCAGTGGTTCTCAACCTGTGGGTCGCGATCCCTTTGGCGGTCGAACGACCCTTTCATAGGGGTCGCCTAAGACCATCCTGCATATCAGATATTTACCTTACGATTCATAACAGTAGCAACATTACAGTTATGAAGTAGCAATGAAAATAATTTTATGGTTGGGTCACAACATGAGGAACTGTATTTAAAGGGCCAGAAGGTTGAGAACCACTGTTAAGGGAATAGAGCTGCTCTTGTACCTTTGGCATTCTTTTGTGAAGAAAATATGCTCCGTCCATTATGACCTAGCTTGATATTTTAAGGATGCCCTGCCTATGTTGACCTCATAAGCTAAAATAAAGAAAAAAGAACATTCTTGTCAGCAGGTGTTTCCAGAAGCAATTCTAGAATATAGGCCCTTCATTTTTATTCTTTTTTTTAAATTATGTTTTAAAATCCTCACCCAAGGATATTTTTCCATTGATTTTTTTTTAGAGAGGGGATGGACGGAGAGAAGGGGTAGCCCCTTCATTTTAAAAAATGACATGGGAAAAGTTCCTTCTGCTTCATTTCAATGGAATAGTAATTAAGGCTGCTGCTGAAGTCGCAGCTGAGATTCAGCATTTTGGCTGGACACTGGGGTCCCACCATGTCCAGTGGGTCAAAGAAGGATGCACTGGGGGTGCTGGGTGCCCTGGAAGGGTCTCACTGCTCTGTGGATGCTCTCCTTGGCCACAGGTATTGTGCTGGTGGTGACCATCAAGCCTGGTGTCAGCCAGAAAGTGGGTGAAATTGACAGGAGAGGCAGCAGCCCTGAAGTCAGTACTGTCGATGCCATGTTAGACTTGATCAGGTGAGTGTCTTGCCGGCAGAATGGCTTCATTGGCATTCGACCTGTGTGGTCACACAGGGCCCCAGGCTTACTATAATGATCTGCTATTGCCATCTTGAAATTTTTAATAATTTTTAAATTATTGTGCATTTTCATTTTTCCCTGGACCCTGCAAATTACATAGCCAGTGCTGCTTGCGGACTCATGGCTCCAAAAGGGCATGGAAGGAATGAGCTCCTCTGTCAGGACTTAGGATGGACAGAGATGCAGAAAGTATGCTTGTTGCAGTAGGATGCTGGGTAGTCAGTTCTGAAGCACATATGAAGAAATACATTTTTTAACTGTACAGGGAAAAACCCTCTTAATCTGAAGCAGTTAGGGCTGGAAATTAGTTAGTTAATAAATAGCAATTAAAGAAGAGAATCATAAAAAATGATAGATATGCATTACATAGTTTGTGTACAGTTAAAACTTAAACGGGTTTATTTGCCAATTTTTTATGTAGGGTCAGGTCTTTTCTTCGAGTGTGTCAGTTGATTGTAATTTCCTACCATTTCTGTTGCATACGCTGCAGGATGCAACAGAAATGCATCGTCTAGAATTTCCAGACTCAGTTTCTGTGAAGCGGAGCAACAAAAACCCTTAGACTTGCAAAGAAAGCAGAGTGCCGAATCCTTCCAGTTTTCCTTTTGATTCTAGTTGCCTTCCCATACCTAATTTAACTGCCGAAGTTTTAGTCACTTGGCTTGATTGAGTTTCCAGGCACTCGGCTTAGTTTTTATAGAAATCATACCTTCCTTCTCACACTCGTATTTCCTTGATTTACATAATTTTTAATTCAGTAACGACAATGATATTTGCAGTTGGCATCAGGAATTTGGGAAGAAATGCAGTGGGCTCTTGGTAAGCATACATTCTCATGGATGAAAACAGAGATGTGCAGAATATTAAAGTCGTCTCTTAACTGCGAGTGTCCACCTGCCAGTGTGGTGTTTCCCCCAGGACAGCATGTGTATCGGCTCCTCAGTGAGTCAGTTAAGGAACATTTGGTTAGTAGAGCTTCCTATTCTTGGTTGAAGCTTAGCAGGGAAGAATAAATCTTACTACAAGGAAGTATTATGTAAAGAAGCCAGAAGAGAAACCAGAGGACTCATTCTATGTTACACTCATTTCCACCCATGTACTGGGTATGACAAACAAAACAAAACAAAACACTTTTGCCTTAATATAATACTGCTTTTCATGTCTCTAACAGGAATATGTTCCCTGAGAACCTTGTCCAGGCCTGTTTTCAGCAGGTAATAATATTGACTTTTACTCACATCGCTCCCCTCTTCCCACTACCAATTAATTTTTTTTTCCTGCCATAACCCAACAAATGGAATTAGCCCATCAAAAATGGCAGGAGATGTACCTGGGAATGGAGGAATTTCAGGTGCCTCCTCTGTACTGTATCCCTGGTCTTTCGGTCACAGTGAAGTAAGCGCCTATTGTAGCTTATTCCGCTCCCATTTCCTTTATGTTCCCCCCACTCCCTCCCAAAAAGGTGGCTCAAACGGAGCAAATCTGAAAAAAATGTCAAACAATGAATGTTTTCTTTTCTTTTTTAAAATTTTCTCTTTATTGTTGAAAGTACTATAGATGTCCCCTTTTTTCTGCCATTGACCCCCTCTACCCTGCCAATGAATGTTTTAGAACATGGCTTCTCATACCTATTTTTGTAGAACCACATTGTACTATATTTGTGAATAGACTTAGACTGTCGGGAGATGCCATGCAATGGAAAAAGTAGCCTCCATCTCCTCTTTCACTCCTATGGGCAGATCATTGTCTGACCCACAAGGTGGCTGGTGTTCCTGGTATTTGGTCTTTTCCTTAATCATTCTGTCCCCATTGCTGACACTCTAAGGAACAATACAACAACGCCATGATTTTTTTTTTCTCTAGGAAAGTTTAAAAATCTCTCTACTCCATTTTCTTCACGTCTTTTTCTCTTATTTGTCTATGCACTTAGACAGCTGAGTCTATCGCAAAGTGCTGAATTGATTTACATAAATTATATGCACAGAGACCTCTGTGTATACCAGCAGGAGTGGCAATTAAACTGCTCGCTGCCGGCCTCCAAGCAGCACAGAACCACCTCTATTTCAGGGGTGCCTTTGCGCTTCAGCCACAGTGGTCGCTTGTGAGATTCTCGGTGTTGGAAGGGCCTGTAGGCGTGACTTTTATGCCTGGTGTGAGGGTATACTAGCTCTTTCTTCAACCTCTCTGCTGAAGCTCCACAGAACCAGATGGGGCTGAAGGAGGGGGAGTCAACAGAAATCTCATGGAGTAGCCCTAAAACGACTGTTGATTTTGGAACAATCATATAGTTGTTGATGTTTATTAAAGTCATAGCGACTACATTTATCAAAGTGGTGAGGTTTCTCCCAGGTTATAAATAATAAATAGAATAAAAAAGGATGCACAGGATTCCTGAGTCTGTCAAAGCACCTACAAAGAACACCGATAATTTCGTTCACTTTGTTGCTCCATTAATTTGTCCTTATAAAAGTGAGAGAACACTTTGACATCATTGAATGGTGGCTGTGGGCGTCAGGGGGTTGGATTTCTCAATTCCACTTTTTGTTCCAAAGCCTCATAAGAGGTTCTGTCAATACCTGGAGCCAACAGAGGCACCGGAGGTAGAACCTTTCAGTGGTATTTGTTTGCCAAAGTAACTGTATTCCTGTGATTTAGCCTCAGGTGCTTAAAAATCTTCCTTCATTTTTTTTCTTGGGTTTTCTTCTTCTAACGTGCAGTATAAAACCACGCGGAAAGAAGTGAGTCCTCCCAGTGAGCCAGGGGTGAATATGACGGGAGCATCTGTCACAGCCGTCATGACAACTGCTGTTGCCAAGGTACTGCTTCCTTCCTTGTCGCCCACGCCCCCTCCCCAGTAGACAGGGCCTGAGTTGTGAGTGAGCAGGAGATGGAAGTACAGTCCATCCTCATTATGCATGCATTCCACACTTTGTGAATTCACCTACTTGCTAAAATGTATTTGCCACCTCAAGACCAACACTCGGGCGTTTTCGTGTCATTCGCAGACGTGCATGGAGCGGTGAAAAATTTAAGTTGCCCAATGCACATGTGTTCCCAGCCGAGGCTGAACACAGCTATGCTCTGCCTTCTTGTTTCAGCTCTCATGCTATTAACACGTGTCTTTTCGTGGTGCGCTTATGCCACATTTTCACAGTTTTGTACTTTTCGTGGTAATTTCACTGTTTAAAATATCCCCCAACCATAGTGCTGAAGTGCTGTCTATGGTTCCTAAATGAAGAGGGCTCCAATGTGCCTTCCAGAGAATACAGTATGTTAGATACACTTCATTCAGGCACGAGTTCTAGTGTGTGGGTTGTGAATTCAATGTTAATGAATCAACAGTATATATGAAATAAGGTCGTCTCTGAACAGAAACATGTATAAAGTAGGTCATATGTGGATTATTTGACGAAAATGTTGTGAACATTGATTCCCAAGAACTTACTCATACATTTTCCCTAGAAACAATGCATTAGTATTCGCTAATTTAGTGTTAGCGACCACCTCATAGAACCTAACTACCAATAATAATGAGCAACCATTGAACCACATGGAGGAGAGAAAGAGCCCTGTTGCCTCTGTATCTCTGCCCCTCCTTAGAGTTGAGGTGTGCACCTCTGGGGACTGCTCTAACTTTGCACGACTATGTAAACGCAGAATGCAGGCCCACAATCTCTTTCTTGAAACTCTCTGCCCAGATGTGATGCAGATCCATAGTTTTTCACGTTAGATAGGCCAGGTGGTGAGTGTACATGTTAAACACTTCCCTGAAGTAGGATTGGCAACAACACTCTAGAACAGTGGTTCTCAACCTTGGCTGCACATTAGAATCACCTGGGAATCTTTTTTAAATCCTGATTTCTGGGGCTCATCCTCCAGAAATTCTGTTCTTTGTTATGGGGTGGGGCCACAACATTAGTAATAAAGAAACAGAATTTCTGGAGGATGAGGCCCAGAAATCAGGATTTTAAAAAGATTCCTAGGTGATTCTAATGTGTAGCCAAGGTTGAGAACCACTGCTCTAGAATCAAGCACATCAATATTCTTGCACTGAATTGATGAATATTCTGCCAAATTAAAAGAAATAGACCACACGTGGCCTCATTTCAGTTTGGGTTAGGTTTTGCCACCTAGAGTTTGCCATGAACTCATAGTTAAAATCAATGGGCTTTGAGAGCTTTGGGGATTTCCCTATTGAAGGTTTAGAATGTATGGGCCTGAAGTAATACATTTTTTAGTCCTGTAGTAGATTTTTTTCCTGATTGTTCTCTGCATTCACACAGGAAAGGAAAATTTAAGGAAAAGATAAATGTTCAGTAGACTTAAGAATTCAGATTAACTAGGCCACCACTGGCTCCCTGCTTCCACCTGCAGAAGCCTTCACTCCCCAGTTAACCCCTCTGACAGGTCCAGTGCCCCCGATTCCTCCCTAGTTTCTGGGTTCAGTTCCCAGTGGGCCCCCTCTGTCCTATCCTGATCAGCCTCCTTCATTATTCCTTATTCCTGCCTTTGATGTGGTTCCACAAGCATTTTCTGATCACCCTCCCTGAGCCAGGCCCTGCCGAACATTGGATTGCAACAGTGAAAAGACAGATGTGGCATCTGCCCTCGTATGAAGAGTGATGAATATTACAATAGGGAAGAACAGGGTACTCTGGGGCATCCAACAGGATGGTTTAAATTCGTTGGAGAGCCATAAAACATGGGTAGGAATTCTCCAAGCAGGATACAGAGGTCCGGTGCAGGATGACTTTTGCCTTGGCTTACCATTTCTTTTCTTTTTTTCTTTTTTAATATATTTTATTGATTTTTTACAGAGAGGAAGGGAGAAGGAGAGTGATAGAGAGTTAGAAACATCAATGAGAGAGAAACATTAATTCAGCTGCCTCTTGCACACTCCCTACTGGGGATGTGCCTGCAACCAAGGTACATGCCCTTGACCGGAATCGAACCTGGGACCCTTCAGTCCACAGGCCGACGCTCTATCCACTGAGCCAAACTGGTCAGGGCGCTTACCATTTCTTAATGGTAACCTCACAGCCCTCATTCATGTCCCCAGGTTCCATAGGCTGCCTATAACTTATAGCATGGCTGTGCAGTTAATTACACACCATCTCACTGTGTTTCTCTTCAGAACGAATAAATCTTTCCCCTTTTACTGATGACCTTATGCTGTAGCCACTGCAGTTGGCACACTCCAGCTGCTTGGTAAATATGTGTTTGATTAAATCACATCATAATTGAGAAATAACTGGTGCCCCAGGGGCTTGTCCATTTATGTTATGTCCTTATGAAATCTCTCAGTAAATCTCATGCTATTCTTACACAGGATAAAGCAAATAAATGGTTCCGGGCTGCCAGAGGGATGTCTGATTGCCATCTTAGGCCCAATCCCCCGGGGAGCGGGCCTAAGCCAGCAGGTGGTCATCCCCTGAGGGGTCCCAGACTGCGAGAGGGCACAGGCCGGGCTGAGGGACCCCCCCTCCCCCCCAAGTGCACAAATTTTTGTGCACCGGGCCTCTAGTATATATATATTTATTGATTTAAGAGGAGAGAGAAACATTAATGAGAGAGAATCATTGATCAGCTGCCTCCTATATACACCCCCCACTAGAGATCGAGCCCACAACCCAGGCATGTGCCCTGACTGGGAATCAAACCATGACCACCTGATTCATAGGTTGATGCTCAACCACTGAGCCATGCTGGTCGGGCTGGTTAACTTTTATATCTCCAAAATCCTATTGGTCATTCAAAATTAGAGGCAGTAAAGAATGTTCTTTTTTTAAATATGTCTTTATTTATGTTAGAGAGGAAGGGAGAGGGAGAGAAAAACATCTATGTGAGAGAAATATCTATTGACTGCCTCCTGCATCCCCCTACTGGGGATCCAGCCCATAACCTGGGCATGTGCCCTGAGCAGGAATCGAACCTGTGACCTTTTGGTGCATGGGACGATGCTTAACGAACTGAGCCACACCAGCCAGGGCAAGAATGTTCTCATGCTTCATTATCAGGATAAACCAGTAAAATGTCCTAAAAATGTCCACACTGGTCAATATTTTCTGTTTCCTACATTACTAATTCCTATTCTTTTTATATAGCCTCCAAATATAGTGAGAAGTTAAAATAACCCCGAAAGTGCCTTGATTCTGAAGTTCTTACAAAAAATGTAAAACACAATAGGGGGAAAGGAGACATATATAATACTTTAAACAATAAAGAAATTTAAAAAATAAAATAAAAAATGTAAAACATCCCATAATAAGAAATCTTCAAAAGAAATATTCAGATATGGATTTGTTGAGAGATAGAGGAGAAAAAACACTTTAAACTTCAATGGCTAAAGGTGGGGGCAGTAAAAAATGTGATATATGCATAGATGGGTTCTCTTTTTTGTATTTTTAGTTATATTTCCCAAAGTATTGTTGACTCTGACTGGTAGATCACTGGTTTATTATGTTTGCCTATTGTATCTTCTCATTTCAATGCCTATGCAGTCTAACAAGATTATAACCATGCATCAATATATTTTCTTGGTTTTGATTCACAGAATGAAACAAAGGAATACAAAGTCGTAGGCATGTATTCAGATGGCATCAATGTCCTTGGCTTGATTGTCTTTTGCCTTGTCTTTGGACTTGTCATTGGAAAAATGGGAGAAAAGGGACAGATTCTGGTGGATTTCTTCAATGCTCTGACCGATGCAACCATGAAAATCATTCAGATCATTATGTGGTGAGCAAACGCTCATTAATGCCATCTTGCTTCCCCTGAATTAGAACTGTCCCCTCAGAATTAGAACCAAAAGTCTTATGTGTCTCAACTGACTCACCTTAGAAAGGGGAACCCTGAATATCAAGACACTAACAAGAGTATTGAATCATGCCACATGTTACTTTTTGTCCACTAACAAGAATCTAGATAGCAGCCATTGTGTTTACTGCCAAAGCCCTTGATCATCTTGTACCCAGCTAGCATTCATGTAAGAGGTAGCTCTTAAAGGCATGACTTGAAGGGCTTCCCTGCACATCAAAACAAAAAGTGCTTTCCTTAGTAGGCTCCATGCAGAAATGATATTCCAGATACTTACAACAGGCACAGCACGAGCACTAACCCATCCAAACGAAAGCTGCTTGAGTACCTGCCCTGTCTCGGAGATGCCAAAAAGTCCACCTTTCCTCAGAGACCTCTGTCCCACTTATCTCATATTGAGTTGGTTTAACATTATTTAATCCAAATTATAGACATTGACAGTGATGTAAAGGGTTCAGTTATTTCAGTCACTTAATCCCATTGCACCTCAGCTTAATTATCTATAAAAAAGGGTAATAAAATCTCCCACTAGGATTGGGAGAAGCACACTGACTGAATTGATGCATGTAAAATACTTAAGCCAACACAAGACCTGTCATGAGAGCTCCACAAACAGCTATTATGACCACTCCCACTACTAACCCTATTGCTCTTTGCTGATACTACAACCTGGGAAACAAGGTGACCATGGCTAGAAAGAGCCTAGTGACCATATTTGCAGGATCAAGCTAAAATGAGATCTCGGAGGTAACAATCGGTAGGATGTATATGTACTGGGAACAAGAAATGGGATATGCAGTAGTTTAATCACACCTTTTTATGTACTTATTTTATTGAATGTATTGGGGTGCATTGGTTAATAAAATTATATAGGTTTCAGGTGTTCAATAACCATACCTTCTTGCCAAGTGTGTCCCATTACGGTAGCTTAGGTGGGTAGAATTTAAGGTACACACAGGTGTTGAAACCTGAAGCCAATGTGGTCCCCCAGAGCCTGGAACTGAGATGGAACTGAGACCTTCGCTTCATTGTGCACCCTGTGCTCCTCCCAGCTGAGGGCGGGTGCAAAGCTGAGGCTTGTTTCTTCCCCAACAATCCCACCCTGAGAAAACACCTGCTGACTTGTTGCGCTTACTTCCTAGTTACATGCCGATCGGTATTTTATTCCTGATTGCCGGAAAGATCATAGAAGTTGAAGACTGGGACATATTCCGCAAGCTGGGCCTTTACATGGCCACCGTCCTGACTGGGTATGTCAGACCCAAGAGAAGAAACCTCACTTGAGCTCATGAGAGTCTGGGTTTCAGAGGGTTAACATTGGCTTCTCTCCTACGTGCAGGGGGAAATGGGGTTCAGCGATAAGAGAGCCGGTTGGGGGTGGGGAGGGCTGCCCTTTAACAGCTGTACTGGAGGTGGATTGCACTGTGCTCAGTGCCAGATCTTGGCAGAACAGCCTGGACCAGGCTTTGTCACTGCCTTTGTTAGTTGTATTCAAATAATTTTTTAAAACCCACTGGTACCCAATCTTGGCTGTCTCCTGGTCTTCACTTCCTCAAGGATATAAACTAACCAAGCAAATAAAAATAACCCCATGTACCCTGGGCCTGAAAGAAATTAGGCAGGGCCTAAATAAAATCAGAGCAAGTAGGAGCAGGATGGCTGGTCGGTTCCAGGACCCTGTGGGTGGGGCTGGTGGCCACTGTCACCCCCTGCATCCTCACAGGGCCAGACGGTGCGGGGGAAATCTTCATGCTAGAAGGAATTGTGTAAAGCAGGAAGGCAGCAGGAGACAGGTCATTTGCATACTTATTAGTCCAGTTATTGGTTCCTTGAGGGGAATAGGTGATAAATGGTGCTCCCAGATATCAGCCGGGGGTGGGATACATCACATGTGCCTTGAAATATGGGCCATAGGAATGAGTAAACATCATCTATTTGACTCCCACTGGTCACTTAAACAATCAGCTCACCTATTGGAACTCGATTGCATTGGGGAGTTTCCACTGCATAGCATTTAGTACTTAATCTGTGTTTACCAAGAGCATAGCCCTGATGGCCAACAGAGAAGCAGCCTGGATTCCTACAGTGTGAGGGTCAGTCAAATCCCAGGGCCTGGTGCAAAGGGAGGCAGGACCATGTACCTTGCTAGAGGCCAGAGGCTGCATCCAGGCAGTGATGGGGCTGAGGCGTATTATGCTGAGCCACTTCATAACGGGGTTCTGCTGGCTTCTGTTCTCTTATCCTAGCTAGGTTCCTAAGAGTAAACAAAGTCAGTTCCTCAGAATTCTTAGCCACAAGCTCTCTATCCAGGAGACCCTCTTTCCACACCCCGGGAGCTGTATTTTCAGTGACCACTTCTTACTATTTCAGCTTCACATATCTTTAAACTCTAAGCTGCCACATATATGGCATCTGCTGAATCAGTCTCCTTTCTGAAGCCCCCTGTTTTGTGTAACCCATATATTTCCATGTGGAACAAGGAATAATTTTGGAAGACAGGAATAACAAAGAGAGTCGGTCCAAAGTATGAAAATGGAAGAGCAAGGGCTTCCTCCTCCTCATTGCAATCCTCACGTCCCTCTTAGACAGTGGGCGCCATCCAACAAAACAGCGGTGAGGCCCAGGGAGCAGAGTGGCTGAGACTGTGAAGGGCTATAATAGAGGGGCCCACAGAGTCACCAAGGAGGGAGGGGTCAGCGGGAGCTGGGAAGTTGAGGGAAGGCTTCCTGAAGGAGAGGGAAGTCTTACTGAGTCTTAGAGGAGGAGTAAGAATTCAGCAACAGAAGGAAGTGAAAGATTTTAGCACATTTAGCAGGAACAGCACGATCAGGGCTTGGAAGCATGATGTAATTGTTCTGTGAGCCCTGGAATGTGCATTCAGATACTGGCTTTGCCTGTAACTTTGATAAGATACTTCATTTGCTGAATGAATCTCCTCATCCTCATATGTGGACTGGAGACATATTCCTGCCCTACTTCTCATTTTCTCGTTAGATCAATATGAAAGTTGAATGACATGAAAAAAAGCTGTTTGAAAAAAGGATTAATATGAAGAGGTGGTATCATCCATGAACCTGTTCCTTTCTCATTTACAGGCTTGCAATCCACTCCATTGTAATTCTTCCACTGATATATTTCATTGTGGTAAGAAAGAACCCTTTCCGGTTTGCCATGGGGATGGCCCAGGCTCTCCTGACAGCTCTCATGATCTCTTCCAGGTAAATAGAAGAGGGGTGTCTAGAGGAAGTCTCTGAACCAAGCTTTTATCAACCCTCGCCTCACTTGATGAAGCAGTGTCTGCGGCTTATAGTTTTTGTAGCTGCCTTTAATTCAAGAAATGATTGCCCCAGCCAGTGTGGCTCAGTTGGTTGAAGTATCGGTCCATTCATCAAAAGGTGGTGGTTCGATTCCCAGTCAGAGCATCTAACTAGGTGGTGGGTTCGATCACCTGTTGGAGTGCATGCGGGAAGCAACCAATTTGCTTCTCTCCCTCTCTCTCTGAGATCAATTTAAGGAAGGAAGGGAGGGAGGGAGGGAGGGAGGGA